CTCCTTCCTGTTTTTACATTGCTGGTGGACAGATTATGAGCCAAGTACCATAATGTTATTAGTCTTGGTTCAAATATGAAATCAGTAACTCAGTGAGATATTGTTGTTTTGAGCTTTAACAGTGGTGCAAAATGTTTCAACAACCCAGCTTTTTGAAGGTTTAGGCAGGTTTCTGTGCATGTGCTGGTGGTGTACTAAAGTTGTGGTGTGAGAGAGAAACTCGCAACCATTAAACAGCCCGTGTGTTTCAGGAAGACAGTGTAGTGTTATAATGATAAACAAGATAATGTAAAGATGACACAAGTCCCCAAAAAAACCAGGATGCGGTTAGAAGTCAAAATGTGATAATCAGATTTGACAGAGCAACTTCTGTGTAAAACCTCCACTTCACACTCGTGCCAACACAACTTCACCTTTTTTGCTGGCATCATGCTCAGTCTTCAAAAAATCCTGCTCCTCCATGTTCTGGCATGTCTCGGACGACTCAGTAAGAACTGCAAGTCTTTCTTATTGTCCTCCGACCATTTTTACACTTTGCTCCACTCTTATACATGTTCCTCATTTTTCATGAGGTTCACCACACAGTCATTTCCATCCTTTTGGCAAAATCCAGCACCATCAGCATTTCTCTCCTTAACACAATACCTAATCAACACTTCCTCATTGCCTCTGCTCCCTTCACCTGCACGGATGTTTGCTGCTTCATCCAACTGACTTCAGCATCACATCTTCAATTTCCAGCTTCAAACTCATGACTCTTTCTGACACTCTCTTTACCGCCACAGCACTATTCACATATTCTTCCTTCAAGAGACCATGCTCCATAATAATGCCTCCTACAGAAGAGTCGTAGTGCCCTCCTACAGGACAAATCCTGCAACCCTCGCTCCATAAACAGTTCACACAGTGGAAGAAATGGCCCCAAGGAGGCGCTAAATGAAAAGGCATCTCCTTCCTGTTTTTACATTGCTGGTGGACAGATTATGAGCCAAGTACCATAATGTTATTAGTCTTGGTTCAAATATGAAATCAGTAACTCAGTG